ATGTCAAACTATATATATATATATATATATATATATATATTATATATATATATATATATATATATATATATATATATATATATATATATATATATATATATATATATGAATCAATTATGTAATAAGTTAAAAAAAACTTTTGAGTGGTTATCAATAATTAGGTGAAAGTGAAGAGACATGGAGGTTTCAAATGCATATGATAAAAGAAATAATGTTTCTTTTGTAAGATATTAGGAGTAATCTTGCGCATCGAGCAAAAATACAATTAAACGGTTAAAATAGTTGTGGGTAAATGTTTAAATCAACAACGGAGTCAAGAATTTGGATATTGAGAGTACACATATAATCAAAATAAAATATAACTATTTACACAAAGTTGTTTAATGTGTAAGTTGTACCTCCTAAAGTATAATATAACCAAAAAATAAAATTGAATCCGATGAGTTTTGTTTATTGAAAATGATAGATTATATCATTATCAAAAATCAATAGAAACATATACTCAATGAAAATGACCAAAAATTATCGTATGTTTCTATTTGGGAGGAGACCTAGAAAAAATTATTTATAATGACATAGACTCCAATTATATGTTTATGTGACATTGTGATAAAAGCTTACATCATAATATAGATAAAAATTATACGGTCTTAATGAGATATTCTGATTTATACCAAATTTTGTATATTGAAAGTTATAACAGAAAAATATATTAAATTATTCATATTATAATAATATAACGATAATTTTATTAAATAAAATAATAAAATAAAATAACAATCAAAACAGGCGATGATGTAGCCTTCTTGTTAAGGTTGCGAATATATATATATATATATATATATATATATATATATATATATATATATTACTTGTTTTATACTTCTTTCACAAAGACCAACTTATGAATCTAAAAACTATTTTAGATTTTATTTTATAACAAGTAAAATATAATATATATATATATATATATATATATATATATATATATATATATATATATATATATATATATATATTACTTTGTTCATACTTCATTCACAAAGACCAACTTATTAATCTAAAAACTATTTTTAGATTTTATTTTTATAACAAGTAATAAGTTTTTTTTTTTTTAATAAAAGGGGTATTTGGACTGTTGGATTGTTTTCGAAGGATTTGCAACATGTCAATAGATTTGTATTTGAAATTATTTAGATCTAATTTTTCTCTTATATAGACAATCATAAAATATGAATAAATAGTAATAAAAGTATTAAATTATACTTTTATTAATTAACTATTTGTATTTCTTTTGTAAAACTACAAATTGAATTAAATTGTTATCAAGATAACTTATGGATGCATTTTACTAAATTACGAAATAAAAACACTACAGAACATAAAAAACATTAATAACTATATTAAAAAAAATATTACATGACACGCACTAAGCACCAAACACCTCAAAGTTGTTTTGAATAAACAATCTCAATTCTTAAGATCATGTCTTCCCGATACATTTCATCATTAAAATCTTTCTTTTAGACATAACCAACTACAACCTTGTTCTTCATTGTCAAATACTTTATATACCACAAATGTAAAGTGGATAAAAGAAAATATGAGTAACCAAGATTGGAAGATAATCTTCTTATATAGGAAAAAGATGAGAGAAGAAAATAGAAGCAACTAAGAATGAAATAAAATGTTCTTATATAGGAAAAAAATTGCAATTAGTCATTCAAATAAGTTGAAGACGTTGAAAATTTTTAGAGTTATAAATGAATATGGTTAAAGACAAGTAAGTAAAAGAAGTTGTAAAGTTGGGAAGTTTCAAATCAATATGGTTGAAGATAGAGGTCATACTTGAACCATATTGACTTGAATGACTTCTTTTATAAGTTTTACTAGGCAAGTGCCCGCGCGTTGCACAGAAATAACTATATAGTTGAAGTGTTTACAAATATATGTTTTTTTTCTAAATATAACAATAATCATTTTTGTTAAATTTGATATAATAATTCGTATACTAAATTGATATAATATATTGATTAATTTGAATTATATGATAATATATACATCTATTATAACTGCATAATCTCAATCGTTTAAATGACTTCTATCTGCGAGTTACACATGAATAAAATTAAATATAATATATGATTTAATGTTATTTATAGTTGTTGTTATTGTTAATTAATTTTTTTTAAATTTATTTGCTTAATGTTTTAATTTCTATCATTATAATTATTTAAAACATCAAACATTGTTTTTTGATTTTAAAGGTAACAATATAATCATTTATATAGAGTTATTTTTAACTATTATTATCGTAAGTTATTTTAAGCTACTTATTTGAAAACCTTTAAAGATTATAAAAATATCTTTAGTAAATATTTTAGTTAAATTGAGATTACAATTTAGTTTTTGCAATTATCACTACAATTTATCACTTTTAACTATTTACAAAACATTCTTTGGTTTTTTAAGTGGAACTAAAATTTATTTAAGTTGACGTTGTCATGTTATATTTAAATTAACAATTTTAGTATTTTGTCCAAACTGTTCAAATGTTGTAGCTTTAAACTGATAATGGTTTACATACAAAAAACATTTTAAATCTAATAAATTAAGTATAATATGTTAAAAGTTAAAGACATAACTTTATAAATACAAGTAAATATATTATTTTAAAATTAAAATTTAGTATATTTATGATTACACTTTAGATTTGATATTTATTTAACCTTATTAACCAACTTATAATCATTATTAGAAAGACATTACAATTAATCACTTTTAACTATTTATAAAATATTCTTTGGGTTGTTTAAGTTAAACTAAAATTTATATTTAAGTTGACCCTGTAATGTTTATATTCAAATTAATAATTTAAATATTTTATACAAATTGTTCCAAAATTATATCTTTAAAATGATAATGCTTTACATACAACAATATATTAAAACTTATAAATTAAGTATAATATGTTAAAAGTTAAAAAAACATAACTTTATAAGTAGAAGTAAAAATATTATTTTAATATTGAAATTTAGTTTATATATGATTTCATTTTAGGTTTCATATTTATTTAACATTATTAACCAACTTATAATTATTGTTAGAAAGAAATTGAAAAGTCATGAAAGTTTTTAATGAATATGATGAAAGGAAAAATGCATGAGAGTTTCAAATGAATGTGGTCAAAAGAAAAATGCTTCCTTTATAATATAGTATGATATGATGATATGATATTTTGGCATAAACAACTACAACATTCTTCTTCATTGTCAAACACTCTATATACCACAAATATAAAGTAGAGAGAAGAAAATATGAGTAACCAAGAATGGAAGATAATGTTCTCATATAGAAAAAAGATGAGAGAAGAAAATATGAGCAACTAAGAATGAAATATAATGTTCTTATAGGCTAAAAATTGCAATTAATCATTCAATTAAGTTGAAGAAGTTGAAAAGTATTAGAATTACAAATGAATATGGTTTAAAACAATTAAGTAAAAGAAGTTTTAAAATTGACAAGTTTCATATAAATATGGTTGAAAATAAAAGTCACACTCATTTTCATATTGACTTGAATGACTTCTTTTAAAAGTTTTATATAGATATTTTGTTATAATGATACTTTTTAAACGGTTAAATTGAGTTTGATGATATATTTATTGTATGAAGATATGTTTTATTAAATAATAAATAAATATGCATACAATACATAATACATTAAACTCCCAAATTATTAACCCAATAAAAATCAAGTCTAAACCAAAATCTACGTAGTAACAAATTTTTTACGAACTATATACAAACATTATTTTCATAACAATAGGAAAATACGGGAATGAAGTAGAAAACAAATCCCCACAGAAAATGAGAAGGAAAAGCAGGAGATTCCATGATAAATAAAAAAGTTGAAAGTAAGGAGAGCCGCGAAAACACGGAGCCGCAACATCTCCATCACAAACATCACCTCTATCCCTTTCCCACTCACTTTTCTATTTATTTTATTTTTTTCCCTTTTCATAGTTCATGACATCTAATAATCATTTTAATTTTCTGCATAAAGTTAATAAGAGAGTGGAAATTTGTATGCAAACTCTTGATCCCTTTTGGTTATTAACATTTAGGAGAAGAAGCGATCAGATTACCTAAATCCATTTTTATAAAAGAAGAATATATCAACTAATGCTATTAAAAAAGGAATATATCATTATGATATGTCACCAATAAACAGAAAGCCTATTATCGGCGGTTAACATTTGAAAAACAGAACTCTTGGTGTTTTTTTATACAAATACTTTATTTGAATGATGTTTTTTTTAACATACAAAACTAGGATGATACTTTTTTAAACAAGTTTCAAACATAATTACTTTACTTTTCTAAGTCATTTTTCATTTTTAGATCTACATTTTGTCTTAAGCGGGATATATATCTTCATCATTCTGAAATCTATATACACTGTCAACTTTTTATACAGTTGAGATGAATGATAATACTATTGGCAATGGAGGAAAGGAATTAACTAGGAAGCCATGGAGAATCGCATGCAAGATAAGGTTATGACCCACGTGTGACTATAACTTTGAACCAACTAATGATTATGAAGTGAGCGCATGAAGTTGTGCATTTTTCAACTCGTGTTTGCCATGTTTGAATCAACTAAAATCACCCCATTATGCTTGTGACATCAATCAAAAAGACAACACAAAGTGTTTACTTTTTAATTTCTTTTTATTACATATCTAAAAAGAAATATCTATTATACATTACATTAGCATAGTTACATTACTATATTAACTATATTAGTTGCACATTGTTGTCTACTTTCAATGAATTTAAATCAAAATAACATAATTAATATAGCTATAACTTTTAACTTTTAAATATGAAATTCTAACACTATCTTAATTCTTGAATTAGAAACACCAAAACCATACGCATCTCTAAAGCCACCTTTTTTTGTTTCATAGTTAACAATAGATAAGATAGATAGTACGGAAACATACATAAATCAACAAGATGCCGTTTTGATTATTCTCTCCGCCGGAAAACACAAATATCCGGTGGCTATCGACACCCAAATTTCACGGTGAACTTTTTAGTGAAAGGGTGACGATTTTACAGAACTCATAAGTCAAAAAAAGAAGACTACATCTCATATTTTTAAGTTATGGTTAAATTATTGTTAGTAATAGTTTCACCTCCCAAAAAGTAGTATCCTAGACATGATCGCCGATCTACTGATGACTTTATTTAGAATTTAAGCTTTTGTCGTTTACGTAGTTAATTATACAAGAAGGTTCAATAGCTTTGGCTCTTCAACGTCGTTGCACCGGAAACTCATCGACACTTTAGATATATTGGATGCCGTCATGGCGGAGAATTTCTGTTCGTCGGCGGTGGCAGATGAACCAACCATGAGATTTGTCAGTGGAGGCGCGTTGGCTTTGCCACACTTGCCGGAAGGTATCTGGTTTCTGATCATCATTTCCGACCACGCGCCGGCAGTGTAAGCTTTATGTTCCGGGATATGAGTATTGTTCACGAGAACGGGCGGCGTACCGCCGTCTAGCACCGTCCTCACTGCCGCCTGACAGATGTGCCAGTTACCTGAGGAGAGGAGTCCGATCGCTCCGTTCACCGGATTCACTGTTCGGCCAACCGCTTCAAACAAGAGTGACTGGAACAGCGCTGAGAAGACAAATGCACATATATCATACATCATACATGCAAAGTTCTGACAAAATTAATAAGCGTGAACAAGCTATAAGGAATTAGGATGCGATGGATGTGGATTTGGATATAGAATATACCGTTTCGTTTGTGGCTAGGGACGGAGGATATGAAGTTGATGAGATCGCTCCGGCCGAAGAATTTGGAGACGAAGAGTGTAGCACGAGCTTTGGCTTCAGGAGATTCGATCCACTCGAGACAAGGTCTGAGGGCGCAGTTCTCGCTGCATCGTTTTCGTAAAACTCGACAGCCATGGCAGCTCATTTCCCTGCCTACTTTTCCTTCTGAGGATTTCTTCGAATCAAAGGAAAGCGGAGCGAGAAACGAGGGTGTGTGTGGGGTTTGTTTTGTAGTGGAGAAAAGACGTGGATTTGAAATGGAAGATTAATTCTGGTTAAGTAATTCACTTTCTCCTTCGTCGAAACAAATCGCTTTAAATGGTATTCGTGGCTTCCAACCTTTAACACACTAATTTTGTTAAATTTCATGGGTTTGAATTTGACACCAACTTGAATGAGTGATAGAAAATAAATTTTTAATAGACCCAAACCAAAATGTGCTACATTTTATAAAAAACAATAGCAATAACAAACACTACGATACCGTATTGTGGTAAGAGGAACAAATATACATAGTCACAACGAGCAACTGCTTTAAGAGATGACCATCCCATCATATATGAAAAACGATAACCTTCAATAGGACATACAAGGAGGAAGTAGTTATCGCAATGTGAAAAATGGATGCCAAAAAGTAAAGCGAACGAGGAGTGGAGTTTTGGGTGTGTTCGGTACGGAGCGTTTGAGAGCTTCTAGCTTATAATGTTTGACAAAACATTCTGTTTTGAACAGTCTACATTGTTTGACACTACAAGCTTCTAGCGTTTAGTTTAAACGAAACGCTTCAAATCAAAATGTTACTTCATGTAAAAGCTACAAGTTACCCGCTAATTTTGCCGAACACGCCATTTGAAAAGAAAAAAAAATTGGAACAACGACAAATATATTAAAAACGGAAGAAAAATGCTAGAAAGAAGCTAGCAAATATCAGGAGTTACATCAATAAAGAAGAAATATGATCAATACGCCAACTATCGCACCTTAAACTACCCCTCTTAAGCCTGTTTTTTAATCCAATTAAATGAGACAGGTTGAAACCATATCAACTTGTAACATAAAGCCACTAGCAACTTTAATTTCAATCCTTTGTTGAGAGAAGTACATATTTGAATCTTTAAGTCAACCATAGATGGAGTAGGGAGTGACGCCAACTTACACCATGAACACCACCAATACCACACATACTTCGGAAATGAGCAGTGACGAGTCTAGAACATAAAACCATGTGGTTCCCTAACATGGTTTAACCGGGCCGATTCAAGAGAAAAGCAAGTTCAACCAGAAAAATAATTGGTTCGACATGTATAAAAATTGGTGGTTAAAGGACCTAGCCCATATCGATCCTTCCTTAATTTATTTATTTTTACTAACACGAACTTATATCTGGAGAAAGTTGGTTTGAAACCGGCCTCAACAAGCTTATGGTATAGAAGTGTGAAAGAAGAAACATTTATTTATAAGTGAAACATCATAACTTTCTTTTTTGGAGTTAATGTGGGAGCCCTTAAAAATGATATGCCTTCTACCGTCTATACTTATACATCTTTTTTCATTCATTTTTTTAGCCAAACATATTAAGATAGGTCCTTCAAAATATTTAAGATATGTCCTAAATTTTTTTATACATATAATTCATTGTACAAATTTAAAAGTTAGGTGGGTCATGTGACCCACCTAGGCTCCAAGTAGTCTCGCCCATGGGAATGAGCAAGCCAAAGAAAAGATGATCCCTAGAATCTGAATCTTGATTGCAAAAAAAATGCATAACTCCGATGACAACATGACACCCCTTTTCACATCGATGCCTGAATTCTCTCCTAAAAAAACAGTTAACCTTTAAAGGAACCCATCTACACCACCACACTCAAACCCATCCACACCTCTTGAACCCCACCACATTTAACCTTAGCAGCCAAATCTCTCACAGAGAACTTACCCATCCAAGACCACCCGTCGGAAGAATCAGAGAATATAGTAGAGATCAGCAACTGCTCCAGATCTGACAACTCTTGCATCTCACTACAACATGTTGTATGCCTCGATCAACTCCATTGCCACTTCGCCCCTGTATATGTATTAAAATTTATATTAGATTAGGTGTCTAAGTCCATAACTATATTTGGTATGTACTTGATTTGATTGTGAGCATGGTCCTTTTGGGTTGCCTTCACTCATGCAACTTGACAGGATGACAAGTGGAGAGAGAGTAGGATTTATTATATGAATAACAAATTGATACTCAAAATGATTTTATTAATATATTACAAGATTAATATATTATTTGGAAATCATATTATTAATTAGTAATTAATCAGAAATTAGTTTGATATTAGTTTTTGGATTAAAATGAATTAATTAATAATGAAGGGACTGGTTTTGCAAATCATTGATAGTTGCAAAACTGGGCTATGGAATCCTTTTAGATGGGGTGGACGAAATCTATAGGAGGCTCTATAGAATTTCGTCCAAGGCCTCTAGAGTAGGAATCCATGGGCTGCTTGTGGCCTAAGCAAGGTATTAGGGTTTCCTCCAGAAACTCTAGCAGCACACCCAACTATATAAACCCTCCAAGGCATGTGAAATTCGGCCCTATGCATTCCAAGAAGAACCCTGGCCGATTTCATCCTCTCTCCAAGTCATCCTTGTTGTGTTGAGTGTTTGTGACTCCATTAGAGGTGCAACACTTGGGGCACTAAGCTTTTAAAAGCCCAAGAATCTTCAAGGTGAACTTGTTATTGCTACATAACAAGAGAGGTAACATCTAAACCCTAATTACTTGTCAATTTCAAAATTGTGTATGTTAGTCTTAGGGTTATTGCTTTGGAGTTTGTATTTGCATGTTCAATAGAGAAAAACATAGATCCAAAGCTTTAGGGTTGCATGTACACCATAAGAATGTTGTAGAGCTCAAAACCCATCACTTTATACAGTTTGAAATATAAAAAAAATTGTTCGTCTCAACCATATATAATTTAGAAAAACACTGATTTTAATGGCATATTCAACAACCACGAATCCTTCCACAAACGAGTATTATCACCCCTCCCCAATACTCTTTTGAATAAATCCCCAATAACTACACAATCATCTTTAAGATCCACCATCACCTGAGTGATCTTCCACCAAACTCCTTGCAAGCCTTTTTTAGCTAATGCATTCCCATCACATATAATAAGTGTTGATGATTTTAGTGTCACTGGGACATTTGTGTAATTGGAATTTACATGTGAGCTAAGGGGATTCATAATTTGTATTCTAATATATGTTTGGGTATGTTCGGAGTGCATGCATGTATAAGATCGAATTAGAAGCTGGTTCGACGACATGTCGGGGGTCTGGGGGTAGCGCCCCTGGGTCCGGGGTTTCCAAAAGGGGCAGTGCCCATTTGGTGAAGTCTAGGGGCATCGCCCCTAGCGAGGTCCATGTGGCAAAGCCCCTGGCTGGTAAAATTGACTAAGATCGTCAGTTTTGGAAACAATTGATTTCCTCATTAATTTCATATTCCCTTGATTTGTTTCCAAAGGAACACATGACAACCAACCCTAAAAACGAAACCCTACTTCTCATTTTCTATTTAAACGACTCTCATCTTGAGGAGAAACGATCCACCTTTTAGCTCTCGTTTTCATCATACGAACTCATAATCTTCTAGCAATTTAGCTTACGTATTCTGTGCCTATATTCGTAAGTGTCCCCTTGGGATTATCTGTCACAACTAGCATTTTAGCTAGGAAATTCTATTCCTGTGTAACCATTCAACTATTGTAAATCATATACTCTAAGTAAATCTCACTCAATGCTCATTTAGAATCATCAATTTTGTTCATCAAAGAGTCTGAAGCCCTAAGAACCATGGTTTAAGTCCATATTGGACTAGGATTTCCTTATTGGGCCTAATGGACCAATAAGCATCCAATTCAACCATTTTGGGCTTGGAAACCCTATTTGGGGTCTAATTGGACCCACTTCCATAAAACTTAGCATTTTGGGTCCAAAATAAATTAGTTTAACCTTAATGGGCCTGATTGGGCCATTAATGAATTAATTTGCCATAATGGGCCATAAACTCCCTTTTTCTTTCAAAATGGGCCGTGAGCTATCAAATGAGCCCAATGGGCCGAAAACTTCATGTTTAGGTCCAAAAATCCTAACTAAATGTTAATAGGCTCAAACTATTCCATTCCCACTCGTTGGCCCAAAGATCTCGGCCCAACATCAATTAAACAAAAAAAGGAAATGTAATAAGAGTTGACTTAGGAGGTGCCACCTCCATATTGTCCAACATATATCAATGCAAGGACTCTCATATTCCCATGCAAGTCACCTCACTACCTCTCTCCCCTCTCTTCTTCTACTCTCGGCCGAGAGCCAAAAACACACACACACACATACACACACACACACACTCTTTCAAACACTTCTTCAATCACTCTCAAGCATCCTTCTTCTTCTTCCTCCAAAATCTCGAAATTTTACTTGTGTTGAAGAGGATTCTCACAAGAATAACATCATTTATTGGTAAGTTTTTACATATCCAAGCTATATAACTCCTTTCTCATGTTAGATCACTTCTCCTAAACATTTTTGGTGATCATACTCTTAGAAAACCTCCATAAGCTCGAGATCTACAACAAAGGTGTGTTAGGACCAAAAATCTCTTCCATTTCTTCTTCAAAACCGAGAACAACAAGAAAAGGTGAGTTCATACCCCCTTGTTTTCGGTTTTTACATGATTTTTGAGGGAGAATACAAGTAAAAATGTGTAGATCTATGTGTTATATGCATGTCTTGTCTGATTTCTTAGCTTATTTTGTAAAAATGTATTAGATCTTAGCAAATCTCGACATCTTAAATAACATTGAGTTAAGATCCATGAACTAAGACACTTTATACATCATATTATCAAGTTAAGAGTGTTATATGTCTAAGATATAAAAAATCTAAGGCAAAAACTTTGTTAAGGGTCAAAATTGTCAAGAAAACAAAAGATAAGGGTAAAAAGCGACATATATGTTTTTATAAGGATCAAACAGGTCCTACTTGTATAAAAATGGATTTTTATGATAAACATGCTTTCCAAAGGGCCAAAAATGCAAATTTTAGCTTAATGGGCCAAATATTTGGGCCTCACAGTTTTGGGCCCAAACTTGCGAAAAAAATGGAGGTTTTGGGATTAAAAATATTATTTGACCAAAGTTTGAGTCAAAATTAAAATAAACCAAATTTAGATGTGAAAATAACATTTATTTC